CATGGAGGGGTCTGAAATTGTCAATTGTAGGTGCATGTCCACTGTAAGACACATAATCTAAAACAAAAAAAATCGTAAACATTAAATAAATTAAACATCTATAAATTTTTCCCTTACTCCATAATCATGTCCAACTTGATCTTGATCTATCAAATTTAGTACCTATTTTGAGGTTATAATCTGACAAAATGTGAATATTTGTATATGCATTCAATGGTTAAATGCATAACGTCAACACAATTTTAGACAGTAAAATAAATAAGTTATTTATATATACTGTAGAAAAAATGACATCTGATTTTTCTATAGCAAATGTAATGCAAATAGATGTGCAAATACAGTTTAAAAAAAGCAGTACTTGTTTTTTTTTTTAAAGCTGATAGATGTGCAGGTGAGTACCTGGTGTCTAAAAAACGTGGCAATCAAGATACTGTTGATGTAAGTGAGGGTGAGCCAAACCAGAACAACAATCAGGTTCTTCACAAAGGCTGTGGCAAAAGTATCTCTAACCAGCACTGGCTGAAAAGAGAAGAAAGGAAACATGACTCAGTAAAAACAGAAAAGCTGATACCTGCTTTAACCTCATTTCCGGTCGTCTGTCAAGCTTGTGATCTTGTCGATTAGAAAAAGAAATATAAGAAAAAAAAAACTCTTCCTATAAACGTAGATATGCCTTCAACAGTTCAATGTGTCAAAATGAAAGTTAATCTACTTGTTTGACTTAGAAATTTAGTTAATAAAACCCAAAAACACTAAGAACTTTCTTTAACTCTCTTTAGACCTTGCTTCTCAACTCCTATATGTTCTTAATTCCATTTTAAAAAACAAAACAAAAACTAACAGTGCAGATTCATTCTCAAAAAAATTAAACTATGAGTTTATAAAGTTAAAAATACGTTCAATTTCATAAAAGGGCTTTATTGTAGAAACTAAAAAAACACGAAAAAAATCCCCACAAAGTTTTCATTGGGTTTACAAAATAAGTATCATTATCTAAAAGAAACACTACTACTACGGTACTTATAAAAAAAAAATAAAGCCAAACAGTATATTTCAGTTATATTCCTTTCAATGTGCCACCCAACCTGATTAGGGGAAGTCATGTTGCTCGTGAGACTCAATATTGAGCTCATTCTTCCATGAGACATCAGAGAGAAGCCAAGTATAAACAAAATGAAAGTAAACATTAATAAAAGTGCATAAAAATTTGTTAAACATTTTTAAAAAGTTGTTTTAAACTCTTATCTTCGCATTTTATTTTTAAACATTAAGCAATCATTCTTTATTTTCCAAAAAATAATCAATTGTAAAATGCAAAAAGTTATTTGCCCTTTAAAGAAATAAAAAAAAATAAATGAAAATTATTACTACTTATATGTAGCAAAAACTTGAAAGCAGCCCCATCTGATGTAAATCATGCATAACAATAATAACAACAGCAAGGCAAAGATATTGATATATTCAAATAAATATAAAAGCATGTCATTTTTTTGCTCAGTTAATGGATTAAAACCAAAGCTCAGGTTTTGATAAATATAAATACTGCAGCTGTTCATCTAAAAGCAAATTTAAGTCCTGCATCTCACCTCTCAGGCACTTACCTGTCCCCAGATAAGACACTGGCAGCAAGGAGCTGCTGATACCAGCCCCTTATAAATACATCGGTGTTAATCACTGAGCAGAAAATTTGTGATGATAATGATGTGATCCTGCTGTTGGTGCAATATTAATGATATTACTTCCTATGTATTTCTTCCCTCTTTTTTTATGCCCAGTTTTAATATATGTTTTAAACTAACAGCCCTCTGTTATTTGACTTAAGATTTCAAAATAGTTTTTAAAAGTTCTTAATGAAAAATATACTCTTCACTCAGTCA